AGAAGGTTTATTGAGCATCAAGAAGGTTGACCACCAATGACTAGTACTAGGCGCATTTGGATGGGTAGCACGTAACATAAGGTAACATTAGGTTCTGTCAGTTAATGAATGTTTCAACACCCCTTCTTTCATTACTTTTCTGTGTAGATGTACCATCCGCAAGCTATGCCTGGAAGACCACCAGCTCCAGGGAAGAAATCATTTTCATGTGCAGGAACTTATTCCTGTGAGATGCAGTGCATCTATATACATTAAGTGTGTGTGTGTGTGTGTGTGTGTGTGTGTGTGTATATATATATATATATAATATATATATTATATATATATATATATATAATATATATATATATATATATATATATATATTAGTAAATATATATATATATATATATATATAATATATATATATATATATATATATATATATATATATATATATATATATATACATTAAGTATGTCTTATGGAAAACCGAGTATTACAAAATTGTGAAAAAATAACTTCAATAACACATTGTTACTTATTGTTATTTTTATTGCATAGAGTCTGCTCAAGGAAAAGATTCTTATCATCCTGAAATGGTATAACGACTGACAAATATAGATTTTAGAAAATGGTAAAACAAAATAAGCATATGCAGATTAAGAGCTAATATCATTAAAAAGAGGAGGCAGGGAGTTTTGAAGGGCTGAACCAACAACACACATACCTACTCAAGTCAGCCCAATGCCAGGATTTTGGTACATGCGTGAACTGCAAGGCACCCAGATCCAATGGCTTAATATCCAAAAGAACACATTTTAAAAATTGGCTCAAAATATTAACTTTTTAAAAAATCAATGTTTCAAAATAAAGAGAATAATTACCTGAAGTTTAGCTGCCAGCAGCCTGGCTCGGGCTTGGTCATAGACAGAACCTCCAGACAGTACTACACCAAGACTTGCAGCAACACTTGCTTCGGCCTCATTCAACAAACCTAACTGTAACTGTAAATAAAGAGGAAATTAATATTCAACTGATTAATGGAAACTGTATAGGGTGCTACTGTTCATTAAAGGTATATATGAAATGAAATTTGGTTATTAAAGGAAAATAATAATGGGATCCTGAAATATATGAAATATTACGAATCTGATATTGCAAATATCCCTTCTTGAGAAAACCTGGGAATATTCAACCAAGTACTTCTATCCTATGTAGGCTATATGAAGCAAATAATAACTATCTATGGTGCAAAGATGTGATTTGCTTTTTGTCATATATCAAAAGGAGGTCTAGAAAAGTTAATGCTAAGATCTATATCATAAGTTGATCAACTTTTACTTCACCCACAGAAAATAGAATTTTATATAAATAAAAAATTAAAATAAAATACCTGAACATTCGCTGTATGGAGGTGTGTAATTGCTGCTAAGTATGTCAAGTGATGATCATGAGCAGTAGTGAGAGCTTCAACTAACAAAGGAATAGCTACAGCATTTCCTCCACCTGCTACTGCCACACAGCTCTCCATTAGGAGAAGTCTCACCCGTAATTCACCCACCATCTCTGGAGATTTATGTAATTCACTCAACAGTTCCCACACCTGTGTCAGTTCACCTTTTGCAACCAACAACTCGCACTGCCTGTAGGGAATACACAGAGAAAGTTTTGATGCACAAATAAAATAAAACAAAACTGACAGATTAATAAATTTGGAATGTCAATATAATTCACACAATATAAGACTTCTTTCCCTTCATGAAGTCAAATTTCATTAATATTCCAGCAATCAAGTCTCTACCTCAGCTTTGCTTCTGTCGGATGTGTAGTAGCCATATTGGTGATTACAGTTTGTGCTTCTGTCCAGCGTCCTTGGTGAAGAAGGTCATTTAAAGTTATGTGTGCTTGCGCAAACATCCATGTATGTGCATGCTGACTGTGGGTGGGAAACCTTTCTTGTGCATGTTGTAAAACTTCCCCAGCTAACTGGTACTCTCCCTATAAATAAAATGAAATTAAAATCATGAAAGGATGAAATATAAACAAATATTAATATAAAAATATATACTTACTAAATGAAGAAAAAGAAAACCAAGTATTATGCATCACTTTACTCACTAAATTTGCAAAACTAATTGCAATGTTGCACACAGCAGCACAAGTGGGTTGAGAGGCATAGAATGTAGAAGGACTAGTGGGATGATGTGTATTAAGGTTTAGTAACAACTGTGATGCTAATGCTGTCATTGTTGTGTTTCCCCAGTTGGCCCACAATGCAGCTCTCAGAGACCAGGCCCCATGTTGTAGAGACACTAAACTGTGCTGGCAGTTTAGTGCCTCTGCTCGAACAATACTCTGCGAAAGTAGTTTTTAGATTAATCTTGTGAAATATGCTTTTTAAACTGGCATGGTAAAATATCATATATCATTAATATTTGGCCACATCTCGGCACAAAGATCTGGTTTTAATACTATCTACAATACAGATTATGGTGTTACAGTACTAGTCTTTTTTCTA